ATCTCTGGGCAGTTCTTCCCTAGCCCTACGTTTCTTGTTGTGGGGAAGGTCATCTGGCTCAAACCCTTTGCTCTCTTCCACTCCTCCATGTTTTCCTGCTCCATCGTCGTCTTCGTCCTCCTTTCTTCCTTTTTCCTTTCCTTCGTCTTCGTCACTTCCAAAAGAATTACCGTCACTACTATCGTTGTCGCAGAGATCCCAACCGATTGGCCCTGGTGGAAGTTGGTCGATCAGTAGCCCATGACGTTTGAACACATCGCGAGTTCGCATCGACAGAAAACGAGCTAGCTCGAAGGTAAACCGTCTCCGAATCCTGTTAGTATGAAGAGCTTTCAGGCGAACTAACGCTCTTTCGTCTTCAAAGTTCCCCCGGCAAAAAGCTTCGTGCGCCAAGTGGTTGGCGATAGCAACGATGAGTCGATTGGTGCCTTTGCCAAGACCACCATTCGTTGAAAAAGCAGCAGTGAGCAGGGTAGATCTAGCCGGGTTGAAAGTTCCCGCATAGCGATTTGCCTTACTTGCGGCTCGATCTTCGAGGGCGGATCCTGGCTGAAGGATCGACTTGTCGATGCTTCGACCTGCGGATGGGTTGACGATTGTTACGTCTATGAGAATGGACTTGGTGCAGAGTTCCTCTTCCTTCTCTCCTGCGTGTAATCCTGGGGGGATTACCAAATCCATCTTGTATAGCCCCTTTCCCCTATCAGTGCCTGTGGTAAACGGGGAAGAATCCTCAACGGCGATGGGCATATGGCACTCGCGCAGTGTCTTGAGGACTACTCGACTACTCGAACCATCCTGTTATGGAGGAACGTTAAGGCGCCGGTCTTGGTGCAGACGAGGGAGTGGGCTCGGCTCAAGCGGTCCTTGCATGGTAACAATGCACCTGCACCACAAAGTTTGCCTGTGTGTGTGTCGTTTTTTTTCTCCCAACATTGGACTCTGTCGTCTGCCCCTCTGGCCCTTATCCTCCTCAGCTAGACGACCCAACCGGGGTCACATAGGAGGGGGGGGGTTGGATCCCCTCCTGCAGTTCCTGCCTGAGAAATTTTTATCGCGAGAAGGGTGCAGCAATCCCTCTTCCCTCACGACTTATGAATTCGGTCAAGTTTGCTAACAACGAGCTTTGCAGCGCGCCGCTTCCAACGGAGACCAGGATTTAAATAGCGAGAAACAGCTCACTCCGTCGGGACTCGAACCCATGACCTGGCCCTTAGCGGCTGCGAGGCTACCCACTAAACCTTTTCTCTCCGGGTGTATCTATTTAGAAGCTCCCTGTGTTAGAAGCTCCCTGTGTGTTGCATCCTGAAGTTCCGCAGCGGCGTGCGGCCCATTACAGCATACAACATTCGTCGGATGACAATTGGCCGCACTCTCACAGTCCCGCAAGGCACGAGATCACGCCAGAGAGATATTTCAACACAAAACCGCACGAAAGATGGCCCCAAAAGCCGATTTAGCTGTAAAATGTAAGTAATAGAGAAAATAATGAAAGAAAAGATGGGGCCAAAAGATGGCCCCAAAAGTCGATTTAGCCCTCAAGGTTAAACTAATAGTCTCCGCGGGAGTTGTACACATTCTCCGCACCCCGCTCTATTTGAGGCAAGGAGAACGTGGTTTGTGTTGTAACGCATTTTCGTCTTAACACTGCTGTTCGTTTTAGGACTGAAGAAATAGAGCCTTGAGTCTAAGAATCTTCCGTGTATGATATGTTTTGCGCTGCATTCACGGAGCACCCCAGCGTGGGTCACTTGCTCGTGCGGTGTGCCGACCCCTCTCAGGCAGAGGACAGCAGTGGCAGTGTCCTGCTAGGTCCTCTGGGATTCTGTGCTGTCGGAGCGCGCCGGCAGTCGTCAAGCAATAAGCTAGCTATGGAGGATGAAGCTTGGATAGCCGACTACTTCTCCGTTGTTGGCGCGAGGTGACACAAACCAGCCCCCAGCGTGTTTCTGCGTTCAGTTGCTGATCTGGTACTTTTACCTAATCTTAGAGAGTCATTTCGCCATTCCACCATGCAGGTTGTTCTTCAGAGTAGTCTGCCGCTCTAGATAACTGCTGTAGCTTTTCGGGAGGACAGTCTATGCCCTGCATCATGACCATCGATGATAAACTAGAGCTGCATCCGGACTTTAAGGAAAGAGGATCAGGCACACCGATGTAAGTAGACTAGGGCGAACAGCGGTGCGACTGCTGCGCTGTACATCTATAGTCTACAGCAGTCGATGTAAGACGATCCGTTGAAGGGATGGGCGTACCTTCGACAACTGGGTTCCAATGCCGCTGCTGTACAAACAGTAGGTAAATACCCACCCACACCCATGCAACTTGACGAGGTTCCTCAAGTTGCACGCTGTGTCACATGGATGCATTACCAGAGTGTGGTGTGGCTGTTCCCTCTCGTGGCACCTGCTGCTCTTTTTGCCCAGGCGTCCCTTTGGCCAATAGCGCGCTCCAGCGGCCACACTTAGTTGCTGGTTCTATTTATTCAATACCCCATGGCTCTGTGGCCAAGTCTCCGCGAGGTTATCCCCATTTGCGCGAAGTAGTCTTTAATCCTGTAGTACGTATGCATGGAGAGAGCGTATTGTCATGGCATGCGAAACGTAACGAGCACAGAACAGAATTGCCCCGCTTGCTCAACGAAGTCCTGCACCTCAGGGAAGTTGTGTTAATAGACACTTCCATACTCCATATATACAAACCAAGTTATGCATGTGAATAACCCCCTGGGAATATTCCAAAAATATAACATGTAAGGGCGCGATGGGGATGGCAGGCTTCCTCTTCAAAAACCCAGGAAACACGTGCATGTCTCAGTTTTCCAAAGTCTAACTCCAGTACGAAACTGCCATCACAGATTAACCGTCCGCGTACCCCCCGTCGTGTACAATGTTAGTGTCTGAGATTGTAGCCCATGCGATACACTACAGATTAGTGGTGCATCATTTTCCAAACGATCCTTTTACCGTCGAGATCGGTGAGCTACAAGCTGGACTGTTGAATCTGCTGTGCGGTCCGATTTTGAAACGCTTCAAGCACCTTTGCGTCTGGCTAGACCTACATAAACATGACCGCAGGCAGTCCAACCGACTGTGGCGACGAGAAGAATATCCGAGGCAAGAGCTGCGCTGAAGTTCGCGGCTCCACAGACTCACATAGGCGCTGATTCGCCGTTGCCAAGATGCTTGAAGCGTTTCAAAATCGGACCGCACAGCAGCTTCAACAATCCAGCTTGTAGCGCACCGATCTCGATGATAGAAGGATCGTTTGGAAAATCACGCACCGCTCATCTGTAGTGCACCGCAAGGGCTACAATCTCAGACACTGACATGGTACACGAGAGGGGGTGCGCGGACGGTAAATTGTGATGGCAGTTTTGCACTGGAGTTAGACTTTGGAAAACTGAGATATGCAGGTGTTTCCTGGATTTTTGAAGAGGTAATCTGCCATCCCCACCGCGGCCTTTACAGTAGTTCATGACGTAACGGTTTAAAATAAATTGGAATTACTTGCATGCATGCAGCTCGGATGTCAGAAGCGAGAAAACGTTGTCGTCTGTACGGTGAGGAGCGGCTACTAGCGGTTGTATAGATGGGATGGCCAACAGAAGTACAGTAAAGATAGCACCCACCTACGACGTGGCAAAATAATAACGTCATGCTCAACACTGAATCAAATATGATAACCTACTTACCAGTTGTGAGTCGGGATAGAAGCCCTTACACCAACCTATTCAGCGACCATTTGTTGCCTAACCCTAGGAACTAAACACCCCCGTTTTGGCCAAAACGAGAGGCTCCTGTGTGCGGTCGCTATCTGCAGTCGGTGACCTGTACATCTGTATTGAAACCAACAAGTATGCCAGAGAACGAGCCATTAGTGGTTAGCGGGCCCCTCCCCTGCTGACCGCCATAGCAGGGGAAAGAACGCCGTTGTGAACCATGAGCCAGGCCAATACAATCCAGTTGACACGTGATTCGCATCCGCATCAATTGGTTTTTCGTCCGGTGTCATTTCGCCCTAAACCAGTGCCCATGCCTCACCAGTTGTACCACAACAATGGTGTGCCTTCCAGTGTTCCTCGTTTCGTCATCTACGGAAAATGTGCTTCCCCTAACCGGGAGGGGACGTCCAGTTTCTAAGGGGAACACCACGAGTCTATGCTCCGGCAAAGCCACTACGTCCTTCGCTCACATCTCAACGGCTTGTCGCTATACCTTCGGGACTGAAGGACCCCCCTATCATGAGTTCGAAGGCACGAGACTTCATCTAGAGACAACAAGGGCCTTTCAGAATGTCCAGTGTAACTCAAGGTTCCCCTCCGCGGCGCAACTCTAACTTGCTGTTTTTTTCGGGTGCCGTATGCATTATGTCATGCCAGGAACGATGGAGATCTAGACCTTCTTGATCCCGAACTCCATTCTCCGGAAATGCTCAAGTGCGTGTGGGAAGATGCAATCACCGATATTGCAGTTGTGAGGTCAGTACATTAGCCGGTGTGGTTTTAGCTCGCGAGGGTTGTGTCTTGTGCCAATCCGGACGGAATGACCGATGACTGTACCATGTTCCTTCGCGAAGCGTCCAACAACGCGAGGGTCAATCCTGTCATGCTTGGACTACAACGCCAACAGCAGCATGCTGATGGCGCAGTCAAGCAGATACGAATCTCGCCTTGCCGTTGAGAGCGAGGGAAAATGTTGTGACGCGACCTCTAGCGACAGCATGTAGGGCTGCTGGCAGCCCGTTTCTAGTCTTGGCCTCCGGCGTGGCCTTTGCCTAGAACGTCGCGTTTTGCGCATTCAGACCTTTATTTTTTTTGTTGAGGCCCGTCGTCGTTCTCTGAGACTTTCGCTGCGGGGGGATCTTGTGTTGGGAACAGTTTTTTCAAGATGCATTCTCACAGGGGATGCTACGATGTGATTTTTTTTTCTCAGGGTGATACGAATCCAGAAAGCTTGGCGAGGCTCTGGCACGTCATCAAGTGTGCATGTATGACCGTGAACAGTCGCCTTGGTCCCACGTGCATTTGCGCTTGCCTACATGTGCTCGCGCGCCCCCACTACGTTATTCACGCGACTGGGAAATCGATTTTCTTCTTACCCCGATTTTATTCTGCCCTTCCTCGACTCTCCACTGTGTAGCAAAGCGGGTCCGTCATTATTACAACCAGCTTGGCGTTATGACGACCTGGCGAATACATTGACTTAGAGATGACCTTGTTGGCTTGATATCGGTCGTTCAACTGCTTTGCCCAAAGGCAAGCTTTATCAATACGCCTTCGAACGAGAGCCCTACCTCGCCAACAGGCTTGACCTCGGCTCGTCCTCGCAGAGTCCTCTAAATACGAACTTCACCGCCCCCCCAACAGGGTGCAGATGTTGCATCGCATCGTTGATTCGTGCGTGCACAATTTTGTATTTCTTGGCCATCGATGAGCAGACGTGAAACGCTCAATCCTTCTCGCGATATAGAACTAAGGCAAGTACCTCAGGAGGAAGATGGAGCTAACATACGCTTGTGCGCGTGAGCCCGGCTGGTACACCAAAACATCCCATACCAAAAGATGAAGCAACTTTCTAAGTCCAGAGTAGATGGCAAAGCACACCCACTAAAACTGGTGATTTATGTTCTGTGCTGGTGGTGAATCCGATTCAGGGGTAATGATGCTGTTCGTTTCTGAAAGCCGCGGCCTCGAACGGCCGAAGCGTTTGTTGACGAGTGAGCACCGGGTGAGTTAATTATCTCATGCATTTTGGCCGTACAGGACCGGAAAGGGGGAAGTCTGCCCGGAAGGGTACGAGCTGATAGACCGGACGCCAATGGGGCACGACGCGGACCTGAATCACGGCAGCGTCACGAGCTGGGGGCTCCGACGTGCGATTCATCTGGCGGTTCGGCGGCAGCACGTCTCGCAAAGGTGTGCAACAATGGCGTTGTCTTTGCCACGTCGTCATATGTTGTTGGCGTTTTCGCCCCCCTGCCACGCGATGTTTCAGTGCCTAGTCGATGCGGTCTCGACGACTACAACGCCCGCATGCAACACGTGGTTTTACCTGTGTTCGGTTCCACAGGCTGGGGGCTTCTTGCCGGTCCCATGAACACCCGCGGTAGAACATGTAACGTATTGGTGTCGTTGGTTTGTCTTGTCTGTTTTGGATTGATGTCCATGGTCAGTGAGTCTCTGCCAAGGAGTGTCGAGAGGCCGAAGCCAATCTGTTAGACCTCGTCGGCTTGGGTGTCATATCTTGTAGCTTTGTGGGACACGTCACTTTGCTGGTGAACGTTGTTGGTGTTGCTGCTTCTGGTCTTGCGGTAGTCGGGTCGTACCCCGTGCGGTTTGCTAGCGTTCATGGCGGCAGGCCCCAGCGTGTTCTGGTGTTGGTTCTTTGAATTCACGTTCGTTTCACCTAGGAATTTCTCCTGGCAAATCTTTACTACAATCTGAAATGTGATGTTGCTCACGTTGATGTGTTGCTTTAGTATTTTCACCTCGCATCTGATGAAGTATCGGTTGGGCTTCCAGGGCATAGATAAGGAATTCGGGAAATAAACGCAGGCAGATATGAGACGAAACACAAATCCCCACGCGACAGTTCGTTGTGCCTCGACCAAACGAACTGAGACTCAATGTTGGTGCTGTCAAATTCTCTTACGATCTGTCAACACGAAAACAGGTGCGTTTGGGATCTAGCACCCCTGGCAAAGAGATAGGTACCAACACACAATAAGGTAGACAGCCCTCCGCGCACCCGGGTACGATACGCCGGATACAAGCGTCCTCAATCCGTCTGCCGTGTACCGCCTTTTCCTAGAGCTAGCTCGTGGTCTGATTGGCGCCATTGTCAATCTAAATTACGATATGTCGTGCTGTCGTTCGGCGAAAATCCCCCCCCCCCTGCTTCCACGGTCTCACGACTACAGCATGCGATTGCAAGAGTACACCCCCCCTCCACCCTTGCTTCTCATCGGTTCGCAGAGACGATTACATCGCCGAGATTCAGGTCGTGTTCAGCGGCGATGCGTACGAGGTGCCCGAGGGTCAAGGTTGGGAGCTCGTGGAGAAGAGCGCCTCGGGAAAGGGGGCCAACTTGAACAAGGTGATGGAGTGCACTTCCGACCGAAACATCCGAGTCCACCGAGTGGTGATAGGGGTCACAAAACGCAAGCTACAACGGCAGTATGTATTTTCGGGGCAGGTTGCCACCTCCACTTGAGCACGGAGAGCTCACTGGCGATTTCTGAGGGTGCAGTCTGGGTGAAGATGTCACGGTCGGACGTGCAATTTTCCGCAAGGGCGCATGCAGGAGCTTGGTATCGACGATACGTGCTCTGTTCGAGGCCATGAAGTCGATCCACGAGGGAATGGGGGGTGTTGATTCGCTTCCTTCGCGCGATACTTCGCTTGTGGTGATATCTGTGGTGGAGAATTTAGACCTTGTCTCTGGGGCTTGCTTGTTTCATGCGTTTTTGTTCGCGATCCGGACGGTGGTGGATCGTTGAAATGATTGTGGCTTTGGTGGTGTCCCTTCGACAGCAACATCGGCTGACTGTTACCGTAGGTTGTTACGCGTACGTAGGGCCGTACTTTTGCTTTTCGTCGCTGCCGCTGCCCCTGCCCCCTTGTAGCGCAGTCATGTTGGGCATCGACTGCAATATTCATCCCCGCCTCTGTGTCCTCCTCGGCCTCTGCGTGTCTCTCACGTCCTTCTTCCGGCTTGCTCTAGCCCTCCCCCGTCTACTACGACACTGCCCGCCTTTCCACCCTCCCCGCGCTTGCTCGATTCCGCTTTCTCCCTCTCTTGCGTTTGGGCAACTGAAACACCGGCAAACCAGGGCGGGGACGACGCTTTGCTGGCCGTGCGCAGAGCCGTCCGTGACCTCGTTGACTGCCCTGCGGCCGTGTGCTCCGTGTGCGTTCTGCTGCGCAACAAAGAGGAGCACCCGCCCCCAGGGTACCGAGTCATCCAGAAGGTTGGTGTCTATCGCAGTTTTTACGTGCTTTCTTCGAATATTTCTAGTCTTGCGTGGAACCCACACCCAAGGTATCGAGTCACCAGACGGTCTTTGGCGATGGTTTTACGTGCTGTGTCGGCGGCGTGAGGTTTGTTAGCACTGATCCGGCGTTTTTGCCGAGGTGCAAGGAGCAGTGCACCCGCCCCCAGGGATCAAGTTAATGAGAAGATTGGTCTCAGGCGAGTTAATTCCCCGCCATTTTTGGTGGTGCTAGGCAATGCCAAACCTCCCTGTGAGACCAACGCTTCCCACGAGATTCCCTTTTCGCTCGTGTCCCGCCAATGTCGTCTGTCGGGGAGTTCATTGTACCGCCTAGTTCTCGGCCAGCTTTTCCCCGTGGCCCCCTTACCTTTCTTCTCTGGTCACTGCATGTCCAACCCCACCTGCCTGCTGTTGCCGGGTCCCTGTATCTCATGTCGCCGTACCCACTCCGTGTCTTCCTGTCTGCAGGATCTCAACAGAGGCAAGTCCGGCGACGTGGTACAGCTGGGGTACCAGGTCGGCGGCGCGTTGTCGACCGTTCGCCTGCCTTTTCGATCCATGATTTTGGACCGTTACCCGGAGCAGGACTCTCCTCTGTTTCCTTTCCCTGGGGACCAGCTTCCTATGTTCGTCTATCCCAAGGTGCGGGGGGGGGCCGTCTGTGTTACAGAGGCCGCCCGGGTTTGTCTGTCTTGTAAAGGCTTTTTCAGATAACAATGGTGGCATCCGCAAACCCTTGTTCTACTGCTGGTTTGGTGGTTGACTCTGACCTTCTGTTGATTGTTGTTGCGTGGTTGTGCGGTTGTGCGGCGGTAGGTCCAATCTCTGTCGGTTTCCTTCAAACCCCACAGTTATTTTAACGTCATTTTCCCCTTGAGACACAGTTTCTGCCGCAACTCTGGAAGTGCTCAATGTCATTGGTGAGCGCTCGTGAGTTCATTTGAAGCCGGGCCTAGTTTCGTCGCGACGCAAGCTTTGGCTTTTCCCCCACCGAAACATTGGTGGTTCTGTCCCCGGACAGGGCAGCTGAAGGAAACACGCATATGCCCGCCACGTGTGCCCGTGACGCTAATTTGAACTCGAGTGTCTGCAGGTTGTTTATTTTTTAGGCTTCCACTTTTTTCACCAATGATGTGTTGTTACATGATATTTTTATGCCAGTATAGCATGCTGGTATTCAACTTTTTTTGGCATCACGGAGCCATCGTGTCCTTTTCCCCCAATCGGAAGGCCGTCAATCGCAAGGATGCCGCTCCTGTGTCCTTGCTTGCGAACAACCGCATTGCGCACACCGTTTATCGTTGGAGCTGCTCTTGGTTTTCCGGGTGCGAATCTTACAGGGGATGCTTTTGGAGCGGCGATCAGGCCGGGACACACCCAAGTCTTCTTTCTTCAGCTTCGTCTTCACTAACGTGCACGGGTGCAGGACTTTCACGGCTTGCCTAACGTTCTACGAGCCGATGTTGCATTCGGCGGCAAGGTGGGAAGTCGTGTGGTGTTTCCTTCACCTCCTTCGGACTGTTTGTTGGGTTCACTTAGTCTGCGTACCTCGCACGCGTGCGTGTTTTTTCAGTCGTACTGTGGTACAAAACGTCTTGTGCCGTACTCTTGTGTGACCTTGGCCGAATCGTCCGCAAACGAAACGTGTTACGACTGACGCCCGGAGTAAATTGGCAGACAGACAGTTGTTGGTGGTGAGGGCAACTCCTACGAACACATGCCGTTTGTTTGCCATCGGTCGGAACTTCTTGAACGACAACTATCGTGCTGACTAGTGACTTTCACGCCCTGGTGTTCTAGGGAAGGCTTGCATTTGGCATCTTCTACGGCCCGCTCGCTAGTACCCAACTGTGTCGCTCACAAGTGTTAGGATCTTATTCGGATCTTCGTTGTATCAGTAATTCAAATCACCCGTTAGCTAGCGACTTGCCTTCGGCAGAGCACCATTGGTCCTTATTTCGGTTATCGGCGGTCATCTTTCAAAGCGGCATTGAGGGACGCTCTCCCGAGCGCGCCGAATACCTCCTGCGGCACAACAGAGAGGAAGGTTGGCAAGGGCATCGTTGGCGGGATGTTTGCTCGGGCCGCACCGCGGTTGGATATCACCAACAAGGTTACCTGCACGCACGCGGGATAGCCAGGTCGAGTCTACGGTTATCACAGCTGGCGAACGCAATGAATTGATTCCCAGGCAACCGACGTCCATCTCTTTACATTGAACACCTCCAAAATACGCTTCAACTCACGGTTGTTCCATTCCCGGAAAAAGACGTGGGTTGCCTCTTCGGTCTCCACTCGGTAACCACCTCTCGTGTGTGCGTGTGGTGGTCCCTCGTGCAATCAGGCGCTTGACAAAGAAGCTTTTCTCTTGTCGCGAGTCAGGAAGTCCAGACCCAGGCGACGATGGGCCGGAGCAGGCAACGCAAGTGAGTATGACGTCTGTGGCTTGTGTGTCGGCGCGCGGCAGGGTTCCAAAAGCATCACAGTAGAGGTGTGTTGCTGCTGATGGTGGTGGTGCTCCTTCTTCTGCCATCAATTGGCGGCATTTCTCTCGTTACGGGATGTTGTTGTCTCGCACTCTGTGTCGCTAACATTGTTGCACACGCGATGGAGAGTGAACGTGCGAAGGCAGATGTACGGTTGCTGGGCATCTTACCGGCACCTTACTGATCCTCACTTCACGCCACACTGTTTTCCTTGACGTTTACATGGTACATCCTACGTTAGGCACCAGTACAGCCCCGACTTTGTCCTGGGTGTCGGAATTTTGAAGAGCGGGTGCTCTTTTTGCTTGAAAGTGCTTGTTTTTTTCCGGATTAGTCTTTCGCGAAAGAATTTGGTAATCAGATTTGGCGAACTCCCCCTCCTCTCAAGCGTGTTTGTTTCGAATACATCGGTCGGTTTGACCCTGATGAGGTTCCGAGTACTTCGGGCATTGCCGTCGTTTCGCGCTCTGTGCTCTCCCTGCATGGGACTGTATCTTTGCCTAGGGAATACCCCCAGACCAAGCAAGCTAAGCACAGCTTGTGGGGGCACGTGTTGAACGACCCTCGTTCTTTGCGAGTCGTCTCGCCTTTACCCGAACAAAATGACTGCCTTCCAACAGGGGAGAATGAGGATGGGTTCCCACGGATCCAAGTCTTACGGGAGGGGGCTAAGCAGCCTGTCGCAGTCCTCCAGGAAAGTGCGTCCGCTATCATCCACCGGGTCGTGGTCCGGAGGGGACCTCGGCGCAGCGGCTGCCGCCGCCGCCTCCGGCTGGCCTCCGCAGGCTTTCGTGCGGGCGGCGGGAGGCGGCGTAGGCGCCGCCGCGCACATGCCGTCGTTGGCGTCGTCGACGTCGACGTCATGGACCAAGCTGTCGGCGGCCACGCTAGCGTCCCAACGCTTCGGCCCTCGCGCCGGCAGCCAACACCAAAGTCCCACGTCTTGGCGACAGCCGTTCGCCGCCGAAGTTTTTGGCGCCGGCGGTGCCAAGGGGGCGGGCGGTGATGAAGATGATGGTGCAACCGCGGGGGCGGCAGCGGCGACGCCGAAACGGCCTACTCAACGAGAGGAAAATGAAATGTCGCCCACCGTTACACAGTCCGCCGCGTTCCACCGCGGCAGCGGGCGCGTAGGTGGTACTGGCGGCAGATCGGGGCGCCCCGTAGATGAGCGCCGTTGGGAAGAGGGTGACGTACCGTTCCGAGATAACCCCCTGGATGTCAGGCCCAAGGGTTTGGCTTTAGGGGCAGCGAGGGAGCTGGCAACGGGGGAGGCGAAGGCACAGGAGCAAAGCCTGGAAGGGGCCGCAAGAGGAGCAACTCAGGGGGTGGCGATTGGGGCTCAAGGTGTTGCTGAACCGACGGAAGGAGGGATCACCGCATCGGCATCCCCTCGTCCCAAGGCGGTCGAACCACCGGCTGCGGGCGCTACACTGGTAGGTCGTGGCGGCGGGGTGAAAACATCCGGTGACGATTTTGACCGCAATGCATCTCTACGTCGATTCCCCAGTTCTCCTCGTGGGGATCGCCAGACTTTTTGCCGTAGAGCCGTTCACAATCCCTTTGGCTTGCTCCGTTCCATGGGCTTCGTTGCTTGGCGGTTATCGGCAAGAGGCGACAACTGAGCGCCGGCACGTCCGGCTTCTCTCGGCCCGCGCCTGTAGGGAGCGCCATTGTTATTTAGTCGTCTTTCAATAGTGTCAGCGCTACCTTGTTCACGTGGGCAGGGTGTCGGTCGTGAGATCTGGAGGTTGAATACGGATGGCCCCAATTAACGATATTGCCCGGGTACTCGCTGCCCAAAACAAGCCGTTTACAGAATACAAGTAACTCTAACCCTAGCGTAGTCGTCTCGTGGGTGTCAGGAATTGATTCCACCTCACGTCAATATTCACACCGCGATGTACCCCGGACCATGCGTATGCACAACCTGCCGTACCGGCCCATATCTGCCACGTGTTCAGGGTCATAGGGTGTGGGTGTCGGCGGCGGCGGCAGCAGGGAGGGGCGGCAACGACGGGGGCGATGGCCGCGGCAGCAGCAACCCGGCCGCCGGGTTAGACGATCTCAGCGACGAGGAGTACGACCTAATGTGCCAGAGGGAAGACCGGCCTTGCATCTTCGCGCCCAAGACGATCTGCGTCATCTCGAGGTTCCCCATCTACGGGGTGCTCCGCCGTTTCCTTCGCCACCTGTACGCCATCAGCCTCTCGCGGTCCGACGTCCCCCTCGAGCGGTACATTTCCATGTTCGTGTCGTGCATCCCGATGCCCCCGCCAGGTGGGTTGGCCGGGTTCCGTGATGCCCTCGTCGTGCCCCTCGATTTTAGTTGAACCCACGTGTCTCTGTCCGGCAAAATTCGTTCGTTTTATGGATTGTCTTTGCTGGGGTTTGATACGTATGCCCGACAAGCAAGCATGTCGAGAGCTTATTTTCTTCCTTGGCACGGGTCCCGTGTCGCTTGCGTTCCTGTGGAAACGGGAAAAAATGGTTCCCGGTTCGTGTCGTGCGTCGCTCTGATGCCTCCTCCGCACGGGGTAAACGAATGCTTTTGTCGCTGGTACGATTTGTTGGTGACAGGATGCCTTCGTTTTCCTGCGCGGTCTATGCGTCGGAATCTGTTTTTGCACCTTCTCCTAAGACGTGGGTGTATACTCTGGCGCATGTGTTGTTTGTTTTTGTTTTTGTTTTTAGTTTTTCTCCCATCTATTGGACTCTGTCGTCTGCCCCTCTGGACCCTTATCCTCCACTTCTACTAGCTAGACGACCCAACCGGGGTCACATAGGAGGGGGGGGTTGGACCCCCTCCTGCGGTTCCTGCCTGAGATGTTTTTATTGCGAGAAGGGTACAGCAATCCCTTCCCTCGCGACTTATGAAGTCGATCAAGTTTACTAGCAACGAGCTTTGCAGCGCGTCGCTTCCAACGGAGACCAGGATTTTTTAAGCGAGGAAAAACTCACTCTGTCGGGACTCGAACCCATGACCTGGCCCTTAGCAGGCTACGAGGCTACCCACTAGACCACCGGGGCGACCGGCATGTGTGTATATGTGAATAGTACCGCCCGCGCTAACAGGTTGACCACTGAACAGACTTCAGTCTTGGTGCGGAACAATAACATGTTGTGTGTGTATGCGTCTGTTTGTGCGCGCAGGTGGGTGTCCGTTTCATGTGTACCTGGAGCACCTCGAGAACCAAGACCCTCGACGGTCGCGCCTAAAGCCCCTCGCCCTGCAGATGCCGCCGGCCGCCTGGCTTCCGCTGATGGACATCGACTTCGCGGCGCCCTTCCGGTGCCTGTCGGTGCAGTCTGTGCTCACCGTGTTCGCGCTAATGCTTCAGGTAAGACAAGCCAGATAGTTACGGGGATACGTATTCAGCTGTGTCGTCGTCGTTCTTTATAGAGATGGAAACCGCATACTGCTGCGCTAGGGGCGATGGATGGTAAGAACGGGGTGTGTTGTTCATATTTTTGAAGGGTTGTGTTTCCACTGGTCATGTGTGAGTACGGATGGGTGTGTTGAATTATCGGTTGCAACTGGCGCTTGCTGTTCTTGCGGGCATGCCTGACGTGAGAAGAAGAGGTACGTCGCTCCCTACCGCATGCGGTCCGTCGACTATGGTCTTCCTTGACGGTCGCCCCGCTGGATGCACGTGTAGGGTTGTCTCTGCGTAGTCCCCTGACGGGCGCTTGTACCAGTGACTTATTTTTTTCGGATATAAGGGTGGCGGTGACTAGGCGAACAGTATGTGTAGTGTGACGGACAATGAAGGGAGATCTCTGTGCTTATTGTCTTTCTGGTGTCGTCCCGAAGGTCTTGCCCGACGTTGTAAACCCTAGTAAGACGTCATCTGTGCGAGCGAGTCTGACGACTTGTACCCTTTGTCCGCCAAAAACGAGAAGTGTACTTACTCTATCCTGTCTCGTTCCCCCTCGATCCGTAACGATTCGTTTCTCTTCTCGTTCGTTAAATGGTTCTTGACTATTGTGCAGGAGGCGAAGATTTTGTTTCTGTCGAGCAGGGCCGAGCTCCTAACTCAAGTGATGGAGGTAAGGGGCTCGACTCGCCACGCCTTTCAGACCGGCAAGGGCCGCCCGTGATATCGTAGGTGACGAAACGATATCACAGCCGCTGGACCGATTTTTCAAACATCGACTACTCCAAGACAAATCGAGTGTGCAAATCAAAAGGCTCTCGACGAGACGGTCTCAACGCCGCCATTTTCGCCACCGCCACTCGTTCTACTTGGAGTATTCGAGCTTTGGAAATCGCCCCATCATGTGTAATATCTTCTGTCGCGGATGGTAATCGTGTTTCTTGTTTTGTCGCCCCGACGCTTTCGGTTATCGTTTCGAAGGCGCGGCACCCCTACAACCCCTTAGTAGCGTCTGGAGACATCGCGCCATAACGTTGCGTGCCATGCTTTCTCTGCTGAGACACGCTGCCTCATTTTGCTCTGTCCCCGCGGTGGCTTTGCTGATGGCGCTGATCAAAGTTGGGGGTATACCATACCAAAATCTATCTGGTATGCCATTATCTATCTGGTGCGTTCGCCACCTCCCCACGGTAACGGCTGCACTTCAGGTCTGCTTCTTGGGAGCTGACAGCACATGCCCAACCATGCTGTCTCATTTTTTGTTTCAAAGGCCCTCCGGAGCCTGTTGTTTCCCATGGAATGGCAATCGGTCTACGTCCCGCAGCTGCCGTACGCCCTGGCGGGGTACTTGGAGTGCCCCGGCGGTTTCATGATCGGCATGCGGCTCACCAAGGGGGAGCTGGAGCGAGGGACGGGAGGAACGGCTACGGTGGTGAGGGACCTTGGCCTCGAAGGGTGAGCACGAGCGGTCCCACAAGAGGAAGAGGATGACTTTTTTGGTTGGTGGGTAGCGTTCGCCTCTTGGTTCGCGGATAGCGAGGTATTTTTGGTACGCGTTTGGCATGCGGTGCGCCGTGGAGGTGCTGTAAGGCAGTGCTCTTCCGTGCTTTGATGTTACAAAACAGATTGTGCACCGAAGAACGCGATGGTCTGAATGAACGTTTGCGCATGTGCGGTGCAAATTTTGTACACATGCGAAAGTCGAAGGGGATCCCATGCTTCCAATAGGATCGTGTTGTACAATGCCAACCGCGCACCTCCTGCCTGATCATGGTTGCAATCCTCTTGTCCCATCCGTCTTCTTCAAGTGTGGCCAACGCTGTAAATCTGGATGCCGGCGAAGTCCTTCTTTACTCCGGTCACCTGGCTGACTCGGTGGCAGCGCCCGAGGGCAACGCGCAGCAGGTGATATACCTCTGGAATCTAGTCAATAGCTACCTGTAGTTGGTTCGTTTGCCTTCCGGTATTTCTTTCCCACCTTATAATGCCGTCCAGGCAGATACTCTTGGTGTCGCCCTCGGCCAACCTGCGGCGGACAGGTCATTTGATCCAGAGCCACACATGACAAATGTTTTACTCTCCGAGATCTTACGGCTGTCCCCCATCCAACAGTGTCTTTCACTTCTTATCTGCTGCAGGGCCTGTCCATGTCGCCGTGGCTAGGTCTTCGTGAACCACAACAGTAATTTGTGGTTTCGGAGAGCCTGGGGCATGGACCGATCAGCTTCTGGTGGCAAGCAGGCACACCTGCTTGGTTTACATGACCGCGAAGAGTGCTTTTTTGTTTTGTTGGCGTTGAAAATCGTTCCGGTCTCCGCTCAGTACCTTCTGGCATCCGTACAGGTCCAACTGAACGCGGACTCCTTCCGTGGCCACAAGCCAACTACCTGAAAAGAGCCAAACTTCCATTGCACAACAATGACCCCAAAAGAAACACGGTTAAGGCCCTCTTAAACGAGAAACTTCTAATTTCCCGTGTTGCGGCTTTCAGTCGTCGTTCCGTCCAGAAAAGGAAACCCTCGCTCATTCTCAGGTATTTTCGTTTTTCGTCCAGGAAAAGATCGTGTGACGTCGTTCGTATTGGCCTGTGTCCCCGTTCCAATGCCGCAGGCTTCCACAGGCAGCCAGAGAAACTCCGCTCGAGGCCACCAATCACTATCCGCCGGCGGCGGCGGCAGCTCGCGGCGAAGTCTAAACAATAGCCAGAGCTCTTCGGGGTCGTCCACGCTGCAGCAAGCGCTCGGGGGCATGTGCGGCTGCGGCTGGAAATCACTCAACGGCGCGGACAGCAGCTGCTACGGCAGCGGCCGCAACGCGGATGGTGTGCAGGGGGGCTCCTTCATCGCGAAGGACGAGGAGACCGCCACCCCGTGGCTCCCCGTGCTTCTCCGCGAGGACCTGGCGGCGCGGCTAGAGCGGGAGCTCTTCAGCGAGGCCGCCGGCGTGCGCGTCGGGGTGGAGGAGGAGCTCGACCAGTACGAGAGCGCGTTCGAATTCGCGCCTGCCCCGGACAGGTGGTGATGGGGGCGGGCATCGCGTGTGCTCCCACCGAATTCCGTCCCGTGCGCAGCTGGTCCAGCATGTAGAAGTTGTTGCGGTGGTTGTTGCTGTCCACTCGCACATACATCGTGAGCTGCTCTCGGTTGCAGCAAGCAGTGGATATGTCCTGCCAATCGATATCTCTGCCTCGTCTTCATGCCTCGTTGCTTGTTCGATATAGCGTGCTGAAAAGACCAAGATCAACCGCTTCGCCTTTGTGTTTGCTTTGAGTGTGGCAGCCATGTGGGTATAGCAGACAACGTTGAGCTGCGCGCTTGGGAACCCTCTCGATATTGAGCCCTCGAGCCGCACGGCTTCCTGATTAGTGCCGGTTCAATGCCTTGCACGTATTTCTTGGAACCCAACAGTGTGGCAAGCAATATCTGGCACGGGTATTTCGGTCTGACCCCCTTCCGTGCTACATACCGCGGGGCCTCCATTGTTCCTTTGGAAGTTTTAAAATTTTCTCGAACCCTTGACTCTCCTTTTTTTTCCGCCGTTCCTTGATCATCCCCGCTCGACGTCGCAGAACGGACGCGTTCGTGCCGCACTTTAGCAGCGAGCGGATTCAAATGGTTGATGCCAGAGGGGACCGGCTCGGCACAGCCGGAGATCCAGCACCAACGAGGTGTGCGTTTGTTGCTGCTTTTTTTATTATTGTTGCTGTTACTGTTGCTGTTATGTTCCAAAAAGCAAGTGGTTTTGGTGGTTTCTGTAACTTGTACCATGGTATGTGTTTGGAATGGCGCTTCTCTCGAGAGGACAGCACCCAAGCTGTTGCAACCGGACTGCCCTCCGCAGTCAAGGTCGGCGTGTGTTTGTAGGTAGAGTAAACTTATTTGAAGATATTTGAGGTTCGGGGAACGTGGATATAAAGACGAACGCCCGACCGGACGAATAGTGCATTGCGTGACCTGCGTGACAAATACGAACTCGTGCACGCATTGCGCCGAACTTCATCATTCCATCGACGCCGGGAACCGCAGTCAAGTTTGCCCGAGCGCGACACCAATCAACAGAAAGCCTGAAGGCCACACCAACCAAAGGTTACCCCTAAGACGGCACCATTCAGCGAAAACGACTGCGACAGCCCCTCCGTGACCGGCCGCATTTGTGATGACCGACGATGGCGCTCTCCCGTTCCGCTGCTTCTCTGCGCCGCAGGCATCACGGTGGTAGCGCTGCCACCTCTTCCGCGGACGACAGCTTCGATACGGCCTCGGTTGTGCGGGACTGCTTCTTGTGCTGCATGTCGGAGCTTCTGGGCGGGATCTGCGGGTCCCTCCGTCAGTCCGAGGCAAGACGCTCGAGACGCAGCCTGCGGTGAGAGGTTGCCTACCACGGTGGTTTTGGCGTCGTGCCCTCGTAGTTGCAAGGATTTCGTCCTGTTGTTGTTGCTGGGAGATATTTTCCCTTCTGCAACTGACCTTTGATATTCCTCTGGCCTCCTGGTTGAACGGGTGAGAGACGACGGCCGTCCCCACACACTCTGAAGCGTCCAGACACAGAGGCATCAGTGTTGGATAGGATGCACCGGACCAGAAAAAAAAATGGGTGTACACGACTTTGTGGTGCTGCTGATGTTCCCGTCCAGTTGTCCACAAATTGACCCCCTTGGGGCTTACCTGTCGAAGGCACGGACAGAAGGGTTGTCCGCAATCGACAGTAGCAGCAGCTGATGCAATGATGTTCTTGTATTATGTACGGCCATCGCCCTTGCGTCGCAGGACGAAACCGCTTGACGAGCTGTTCAACATGAGCCGCTTCCTTGAAGGAATGGACGCGTCGCACGGAGCCCGGCCGTTTCTCCAGAGGCTAACGTCGACACAGGTTCGTAGTACTCTCTCACTACCGTCCTGTCATGTTTTCTTCGTTTGCGAGTGGTGTATGACCACGGAATGCGTCCAAGTCAACTCTGCCGGCAAGGGGTTGGAGGTATTGAGCAGAGACCGACACGGTATTTTTCATGTGACGACCAAAACGACTAGGCAAAAGCTCCTGACCAGGCCTGGGTCTGCTGTGCCTTAGGGTATGTTGCGGTCGGGATCGTACTGGGAGACCCCTCCACGCCTTGATCTTCCACTGAGAGAGGCGGTATCTAGCGCTTGTGTCTCTCATCGATGTGTCAAATCGAGCTTCTGACTACTCGTTGCGTGTGGGAATATCGAAACGCCCCCTTCCGGGTATACCGTGAACGTCCTCCCGAATCCCGCCGTATTTCCGCAGGCTAGTTGTGTGTGTAGGGCCTAGGAGGCGTGGTGGGGGTTACCCATGGGCCTACAACGGCGTGTCTTGGGTCCTGGACTGTCATGTTTTTTTTCCAATGAGACATATGCTTGCGGGCGTGAGGGGTGATGTTTCAATCGAGAGTAGAAAACAACCGTTATGGGCGGAAAGGTTTCCGGAAACGCGCGTGTTGTATGTATAGCTAAATTCATTACCCAGATCAAAGCACAGGTTCTAGGCGACTGGGCCTCGGACGTATTCCACCCACCCCGAAGACACGTATGTATGCGCACGTTCGTCGGCAGCCAAAGTTGCCGTGTTCGTTTTGTGTGGGCCAAGCGTCGATCTCAAGCAATCGTCCGGCTGTCAACAAAATCCAGATGTTCTGGGTGATGGTGCAGCAGTGGCTAGGGAGGTCGTCGTCGCCAACCGACTGCCGCCTGTTATTCTTCGAGGAGTGCGCAATCGCCGTCAAGAACAGGCTAGCCGGGGCGGTTGTGCCATGGAAAGACAGCGGCGACGGCGCCTCGGTCGAAGGCGGCGGCGACCGCGACCGTCACGGCGATGGCGATGACGATGACGGCTCGGCTGGCAGGAGGCGACGGTGGGTGGTGTTCGTTGTTGGTGTTGCGTTGCAGTGCAGTTGTAGCGTGGGCTGCTTTCAATGTAAGTGTGCACAGGTGTAGGTGTGAATTCGCAAGCACGGGCAAGGAAGAGGACGTGGAAGGTCTCACATGCAAGTGTTTCGGTTGGTGATGATGCTCATGGGATTTGTCTGCTGCTGGTAATCATTGTGGCGTTGTTTCTCCAAAAAAGAGCATCTTATAAAAACCAGCCTGTAGTGTGGTCTGCCGGAGCCCCGGCAAATGTCGACGCCATGCTCGGCTGATGAGTTCGCGGAATCAACATGGAAATATTCGCTTTCGTCCATCGCAGCATGTGACCCGCGCCCATCCCTGCCAACGATCGTCGTGTTTTGACGCCGGTCGACCACGCAGGTGCGACGAAGGGTTCATCCCCCTGGTAGACGAGGTGCGGCTGAAGCGCCCCGACCTGTACGGGCTCAGTTCGTACAATCTGTACGGGCCTGCGCGGCTGGAGGGGTCCAGGTCGACGCCACTCGCGACGCCGGTGTCCGGGCGGAGGCGGCGGAGTCCCCCCTGGGAGGTGAGGGAGGGGCGGTGTTGATGTACAGTGTTGTCGTCAAGGTGGCGGTGGAATGTTGATATCGGTGTCGGTGTTGATGTACAATTGGCAGGAGTCTGTTCTTCGTTTGTGCTTGAGGGGTTTGTGCTAACCGCGGCTACCCCACGCACCACCGCCGGCAAAACGTCGCCAGAGTGTCGCATGGAAGCCTTTCGGAGGTAATGTTGGACAAGATTCTCCTCCTGCGTTTGCTGATGTTGCTCCGACTGCGGTGCTAGCTGTCAGCTCTCGAGCTGTCGGATGAAAATCAGATTACTTGCACCGGTTTACCGCTTTTATCGCAAGCAGTCCGACTTGTTCGTTGTTGATATTCTCGTGGGTCTTGATGAGCCGTCTAACAAGCCCGCTTGTTTCCCGAAACCTTCCAAAAATCGTGCCTGCTCAACTTTGGCACCAGCCTTCTCCCCAGACAAGAGCACCGGCAGCTGCACCAACAGCAGCGGCAGCAGCAGCAGCGGCAGCAGCAGGGGATAGCTCTTGCACCCCTCAGGGAAAGGGTGGTGGCGACAGCGGTGCCGGCGGGAGTTGGGATGGTTTCTGCGAGGTCTGCACGGGCCCGCCGGTCATCATCCCGGGTCCTACCGCCCAAGGGATTCCCAACGAGGGGCAGCATCCTTCCTTCGGGTGGGCTACTGTTCACTGCTGATGTGCAGATGATGATTTTTTCTTGTGTTGTCTTGTTTTCCAATTCGTCGATTGTGGAAATACTAAGCTGGTCCCCCGAGGGTCGCCGAGATCAATTAAGGAGAACGAATGTTTTTATACGATGCGCGTGTCTTCGATTGATGCGACTGCCACGGTTTCGAGCACGGGGTGCAGTGGTGGATGTTCAGATCAGCAGCCACCACTCTCCACCGAAGATCGTGCACTTCGCTCTCGCCACCAGACGCTACTATCGCCCTCGCGTCTACAATGTCCTTCGCTGTCTGTCTGTCTGGGCTGATCGTGGGCGGTTCATAGTGCTCGATTGACGTCTCTCTCCATAGTGGCATCTATTTTGCGTTCTGTCTTGCTGTGTGTTTGTGCAAATCTGTGTGTGCTTGTCTCTCTCTCCGTGACCACTTTCTCTCTCTGGGTCTTGCTCGGCTGATAGCGAACGACTCATGGTGCTCGATCTGCACTTCTCTCGATAGTGTCCATCTGTTGTTGTTACGCCTGGCGCTGGTTCTCACTCTCTCGGTGACCGCTTTCTCGCGCTCGCCCTCCCAGGTACGACGACGGGTGGCCGACGCCTCTAAACCGAGGCCTCCTCCACACGCCCCCCGAAGCTCTCCCGCCGGTCGTGCCCAAGCTGCAGCTCCACGCCAGCTGCCACGCCTCCCGGCCGCAGGGCCCCGAGCAGGGTGTGATGGCCGGAAGCGAGAGCAAACGCGCCGACACCCCCGCGGCTACAACCGCTGCTGCTGCTGTAGACTCGTCGTTGGAATCGCTAGCGAGATCCATGGCTGGGGGTCCAAGGGATGCGTCCTCGGGGGAGACCGTACCCTCGCAGCAGGTGCGCACGAAACCACGGCCCCCCTGGGACCGTTGGCACGGGGTTTGATTCAAAGAATATGAGTATGCGGCAAGGGGTTTAATCCAAAACTATGAACTACCTTTCGTTTTCTCGATTGCGCCGCAAATTTGTTTTTTGACAATTGATAAAATTGGGTGTCACTGTTCCTTGTAAGCACTGTGATATGCCGACCACCAGCAAATATTCAAGGACTCGCAGAAGCTATCCTCGTACCAATGACCGAGGAGTGCTGATCGTGTTTCGTCTTCGACGATATAGCAGCGACACCAATGCCGACTCGACGTCCTCGAGTTTTGAAGAAGGCTCTGTACTCCTGAAATCAATATACTTGTATTTTCCGCTACAGTTCTCGGCCTTCCGTGTATGCCTTCAACATTTTTCGTCGCTGGTTTCCTGCGACGCCCGCTTTCCGTCGCCAAGAACTCACTGCTGGAGCGGGATCTCTCCGCCTCTCACTGCAGCCCCGGGGTTCTAGGCGGCACACTCTCTCTCGTGGATAGGTTCACCACAAATTCAATTTCTCGGCTCGTTTGTTGATTATGTAACTCTCGTGCCGGTGTTGAGCAGGGTCTCGGCCAGTCCAGCAGATTCGCGGAGAGCGATCAGCTGCCGGAAGCTCCGGGGTATACAGGCGAAGTCCGCCTGTGGCGGCCTCACGGGAAGGGCCGCATGGTGTATAGTGACTCCACGGTGAGGTGTCCACCGTCCTTTGTGTTTTGTCGGAACGCGTGACGTATTGCTTTTTTTTTTTTTTTAAGCGTGTGAGCTACCGTTTTCTAGACCGAGCGCGTGCAGGTGGCGCTCACACACACGTTCGGTGGCATGACCCTGCGGAGAAGGAACAACGTGTTGGAACGCGCGACGTAAATAGTTTGTGAAGCGCGCTATAAATAGTAACCACGATCCAGACCGACCGGGTTTCTTCACCGCCCACACAGTGGTAACCTTTGGAGATGAAGCAACGTGTGCACCTTTTATTTTCTGGCCGCTGTGGATGCACTCACGCGCGGCATGCGGGTTCACCGCCGTGCATGTCCTCTCCAGGTGTACGAGGGCGAGTTCCGTCACGGCCGACGGCATGGCGAGGGGTCAATGACGGGCGGAGGGAGTCACTATGCGGGGCAGTGGACAGGCGGAAGAAGGGACGGGGTCGGGACGATGACGTACCCCGACGGGTCGAGGTACTGTGCAATGCCGCGAAGAATATTTTATAGCGAAAGTTTGATGTGATTGCGTCCTTTAAGCTGCACAAATAAAAATTACATATATTTTTTATTGAGATTCTGAGAACCAAATCATACCGTGACAACAGAGTAGCACAAAGGCGTACGCCCCGTGAACTGGTGTTGTCGCATTCTAGCCTTGAGACGGCCCCGACCAGGGTAGTGGATCGGGTGCTCCCGATCAAGCAATTGCGGGGCCCTGCCCGCCGTCCATGTAATTCGTCTATCCCTTATCTCATCAACATGCAGGGCCGTTCGCCGTTTTTGGAATGATTAGTAAGCCATACTCCATCAAGGACATGGTGGTTTCTCCCAACTGTCGTTTGCTATGTAGCTGTTTGACTTTTGAATGTTCCTCTTTGTGTATCGCCCCATCCTGTTTGTTTTTTTTCTCAGGTACGAGGGGAACTGGGCAAACGACGAGCGGAACGGGCAAGGAACCTACTGCTACGCGTCCGGGGCGGTGTACGAAGGCAGCTGGAAAGAAGGAAAGATGCACGGGAAGGGCCGCTACACCGGTGCTAGCGGGTCGTGCTACGATGGCATGTACAGGTGAGATTTCCCCCTTCCAAGCTAACGATTTATGTGATTGTGTCACTAGGGTGAGCTACTAGGCTGGCTACCCACGCTTCGCGATGCGGTGGTCTTCCAGTTGGCATGCTCTTTGATCACGTTCAAGTGCTCAGGAAGGACCCTTGCAATCCTCGCTGATGTTAGACCTCCGTGTGCTGATAATCAATCACGACGATTTCCTCCCCATTTTGAAAGAGAATCACACCTTCTAGCTCTCAGTGGTACCGGAACGTACCCGACCGAAAAATGTTCACTTTTCGGCACAGAGCAACTTATTGTTTGGCCTGAGATGCCGAACGATTTTGACCGCGGCGCTATACCGGGAAGGCAATCGCGCTCCTCGACCGGCACTATTGCGGTCGCACAACTGCGTTTCGCTTATCACGCACAAAACACCGTTTTCTTCCTGCCTGTCCACCCGCAACAGGCGCGGCGTGCGCAGCGGACACGCGAAGATGGAGTACAGCGGTGGCCAGACCTACGAAGGGGAGTGGGCCGACGGCGTCCGGAGCGGCTTCGGCACGTACACCTTGGCGGACGGCACCGTTTTTGAGGGAACCTTCAAGCAGGATAAGAGGCACGGGGCCGGCACGCTCCGCCGAGCCGATGGGGTCACGAGTCAGCTATGGGAGAACGGCAAGCTGGTGGCGGAATCGCCATCTCCGCCGCCGCTGCCACCGTAGGCGTCTCGTAGCGGACAACCTTACGCGCTCGCTTTCAGCCATAGAGGGGGTTGGCGAGGGTCTGGACAGTTGTCGTTATTTTGCTTTGCGGGGAAGTTTTTGAGGGGCCACAGCTTGGAATGGGGGAGAGACTCCCGGATGTGCAGGACCCCGCTAGCCGGTGTCTTGTGGCTGTAAATTACTCTTGTGATATAGATGAAGAGGCACGCTGGCTCTTGAGTGGTCTGCGGGACCAGCCTTGTTGGTTGAGTTCGAATAATTGTAGAAGCGCAGGTGCCGCGTCAAAGGCACCATTAACTCATCTGGGGGTGATGCAAGCACGCAATCTACGATGACTCATGTCATGCTTTGCTGTTGGACCCAGCCTGAATGATCTCTTGGGAGCCTAAGTCTCATTCACCAGCGTCAGGACAATGTTGGTATGTAAGACAATGTGTCATTATCGTCTGCAGTGTATGACTCGCACGTTGTGTACTACCACACTAGAATCTCTCGAAGCCGTCCCGGTGTACGGTTTGGCTGGGCACTACGCTAGTTTCTCTGCGGACGTTTCGGTTTCGCAAAAGATCATTGTTTGTAAAGGGAGACAACCCCACGATGTCCTGCTCACACCCGTCTGTCGGACGAGGAATAGTCCTGATCCACACCTATATCCCAAGGAGGGCAAGCTAGTGTTGTTTTTGGTATTGCTGATGCAATTGTTGATCCCCCGACTGTAGTTTTCCAAACTTTTACGTACTTCGCGAAGAGTATTTTTCCACGTAGTTTCAGCGTTTAAGAGGGGGGTGTTGTATTTCCCCCAGTCCAGTGTACGTGGTTTTCGTGGTTGCCAAGGTGATGTGTGATGTGTGCTTTAGTCCTCGATAGTACCGCAGTGTCAGTGCCGCCGTGTATGTCAGCGTGTGTTGAGTTTACCGAAAGTCTTTTACGGAGGCGACCTCCATTTTTGTTCATTCCTCCCGAGCCGAACCAACGTTGTTCTTGTTCTCGTAGCCCTTGTTGCTTTGTCGACCAGGTGTCGTTTGCGCTGAGCCGACTTTGGTGCCGACCTCATTCGATCAAGTCGAGTCCACCTCCGAACCGTTCTCCATATATTTGTTTCGCACGGTACTCGAAATCGGCGGGGAAAGTGCAGGGCTGCTCCCGAATGTTGCACGCCACGACTCCCCGCACCTTCTCACGTGGTGCATGTTTGCCATTTGTTGAGAGGCTGCTATGTTAGCAGACGACCCTGGATCTGCTATCCGTTAACCCGACACCAATCTGTCGCTGCCCTCTGGCCTATGGAAAGGGCAAATATATCCTGTCTGAGCAATCAATCTCGGCGCCCAGGGTGGACTTTGGTAGCACCCCTGGAGATATTTTTAGATGTGCTGGTGTGTGAGGTTCCCGCCACCACCATACACCTGCCGTAGCATACACTGTCGGTCGCCCCGGTGGTCTAGTGGGTAGCCTCGCAGCCTGCTAAGGACCAGGTCATGGGTTTGAGTCCCGACAGAGAGAGTTTTTTCCTCACTAAATAAATCCTGGTCTAGGATGAAAGCGACGCGCTGCAAAGCTCGTTTGTTTGTAAACCATAATCGACTTCGTAAGTCGCGAGGGAAGGGATTGCTGTACCCTTCTCGCGATAAAAATACCTCAGGCATGAACCGCAGGAGGGGGTCCAACCCCCCCCCTCCTATGTGACCCCGGTTGGGTCGTCTAGCTAGTAGAAGTGGAGGATAGGGGCCAGAGGGGCAGACGACAGAGTCCAATGATGGGAGAAGAACAAACAAACAAAACAAACCTGCCGTAGCATAGACTACCTTGTTCGCACACGATATGACAAGGTACTGATACGTACAGGGTCCAAAAGTAACGTACAAGCAGTGAGGATTAGATGTTCGACAGTTTCATTCGCCGTTCACTTGTAGGGTGTCGGCATTCATAGCACGTAGGCGAAAGGCACCCCCTAGTGGCATCAGATGTTCCAAGACAGGGCCGTTCGACACGCTGTCATGGCCAACGATAACGCCCCCCGTGGATATGAGCTCCACACTAGGGAGCCATTCCACACAAGTCTAGATAGGGTATCGACATTCACAGGCTCGACACATCCCGTGGGTATCTTGTGTTCACCGGGTCATCCCACATACCCTGAACGGTAACGATGTTCACAAGGTCAACGACGGACACATCCTGCGGAAATAAGGAAAAAAGATGTTCCACGGAGTCCTTGAAAGTGCCCTCACAGGTAGCAACATTCACAATGGGAGCTACGGGCACCTCCGGTGAGTGAAAGCTCTCATTTCCCGGAACCTACGTGTGCTTTGACTTTGACGAATTGTCGATGACACTTGCTGTAGAAATCAGGAGATAACGACACCGGAACGCAGCCGCAGGAGGAAGAAGAAAGAGTGCAAAAGCAGCCGTCCATTTCAACGGAGCGTCTGATCAGCAGGAGGAAATCAAGGTGTTACCATGAAGATTCCCTCAACAATGCACATATTAGCCTACCCGAAGTGGCATCGGTTCACAGTAGTCGGGCTTACTTTGATGGAACCGTTGCCAGCAGGGTTTAGTCCCTCATGGTGCTGCGAAGTATCAGACATTCACAGAAAGCTGCACAGATTCTTATGCCTGCACCACGCCATGCCATGCGCATAGATTTCCGAGCACCTGGGAACAAGGAGATTTGCAGCGATGTGCTCAACGCCCATTGCCACCCAACCGGCATTCCTCCGTGACTATCCCCTTCGACAACAAAAAGGGAAGCCGGAGCCATCCCAAGCGAACAAGAGCCGGCACTTGCACCGGCCAAGCAACTATTTCTTGTGCGTGCGACAAAAATCGTAACGAACGAGAACAAACAAACATCGCATACGCACGCGGCAGCTGACGGCAGTCGTACAAGCCATGAACGGCCCGAAAGCCCAGACTTTTACAATAAGATAATGCAAACCAAGCAGAGACAACCTCCATCAAGGCAGTCACCGAAGTAGAGTGGTACCGTGTTTCGTCAGCATCGACACGCGTGAAGGTGGCGCGAGAGGTGCTCTACACGTCATCGTCTCCATTTTGGGCTCTGTTGTTGACCATATTGGATTCTGTTGTTCGCCGATACGGGGTGCAAGGGAAGGAAACAAGGCCGGATGGTGCAGTAGCAAGAAAAGCGGCGGCGGTGGGGTGTGATGGTCGAGGGTCTCGAACACCTCAATGCGTTCAGCGCGAAGCGATGGAGTCCGGATGCCTGCTCCACGAAACGGGGGGCCTTCGTTGCCATTGCTCGACAACGCGGTCCGAACGGCGACCAGACAAACGCGACCACCGCTGTTACTTGCTGATCGCCGCAGCCCCTACAGATAAATTCGAGGTAGCTTGAGGCTATCGCTAGGGTTGTTGTCAGTATTGTCTCAACGTGCTCGCCTAGCATTGTCCACGGCGAGACGACGGCCCCCCACAGCCACACACCGCTGCTACGGGAGCGGCGAAGCAAACAATGAGGGTGGTTGGCTTCAATCGACAAGCACAATAAAAACCCAGCGCCGTCATGCTAAACGCCACCACCGACCCGTCAACGCGTTTGCTTCAACGTTGCTCCAGCGTACCTTAAGCTCCAACTCGTTCCAAACACCCTCAGCTTGGGCAGAACTCCGCATCAAGAATTTGTCACCGTAGAGGCCATCGCCCCCGCCCCCGCCCCCGCCCCCGCCGCCGCCGCCGCCGCAACTTCCGCCTTTACCGGCGGAGACAGCGAGCCGAAACCGGGCGTCGACGACACCAACCCAAAGTTCCTCACGATGAAGTCGAGGCACCTGTCTCGGAGGGACAGGGCCAGCCGTGCCTCGGCGGTGACAAAAAGCTCGCACGCGTTTTTCACCTGTTACGGGGGGGTGGGGTGAACTCAGCTGCAGCTTGTTCCAATGAATTGACCATTGACCGCCGCACGTGGAACTCCTAGCTCAGAATATACTCTTGACAGAAAAAAAAGCCAAACATCGAGTGACTCCTAATGCTGAGAATATCACAGTCAATACTAACAGAACTTCACATTGGATTGGGGACGGGGGTAAGAGTTGTTCGGCATCAGAACAGCAGGGAAAGGGCAAGACCTAGGGTCACGGTGGTGGAGGGAGGGCGGAGCGTAACTGCGACACCTACATAGCGAGGACAGGTCAACCGCGACCTCCGTACTCGAGGCAAGAGCTTGCAACGACGTGGTGCGCAACCACCGCGATGGAGGGAGGGAATGCTCCATTCTTGGGCATTTCCAAGCACCAGAAGAGAATCGCGCTCAAGACGTGTGTTGGCGGGGGGGGGGGGGG